GGGACCCCAAACTGGGACCCCAAACCCCAAACTGGGACCCCAAACTGGGACCCCAAACCCAAACTGGGACCCCTAAACCCAAACTGGGACCCCAAACTGGGACCCCAAACTGGGACCCCAAACTGGGACCCCAAACTGGGACCCCAAACCGGCGCCCCTCCCCCGTTACCGATCGCCGCCGCCGCCTCCCGGAGGAGGATGAGGAGGATGAGGAGGATGAGGATGAGGATGAGGAGGATGAGGATGAGGAGAACGAGGCGGGGGCGGCGGAAGGACGGCGCCCTGAGGGGAGACGCGGGGGATGCCCCGGCCGGCTCGCTCCGCCTCCGCCGCCAAATGGCGGCCGGGCTCCCCCCCTCCTCCTCCTCTCCCCCCTCACCGAGACCCCCCAAAAGAACCCCCCGGGCCCTCCTCCCGCCGCTCCCCCGGGGCTCACGGGAAATGGAGTCCGGCCCTGAGGGGAGACGCCGGCAAATGGCGGCGGCGGCGCGCGCCCGCCGGGTCTCGCGAGAGCGCAATGCGGCTCAATGGGAGATCTCGCGAGATCTCGCGGCCCGCCCGCCGCCTCCTCCCTCCCCTCCGCTCCTCCCGCCTTTCCCGCCCCTCTCAAATCTCGCGAGAGCGCCCATTCAGACGCATTGCGATCTCGCGAGATCTCGCGACCCGCCCGCCTCTTCTCCCCCCTCAGCTCCCGCTATTCCCGCCCCTCTCAAATCTCGCGAGAGCGCCCATTCAGACGCATTGCGATCTCGCGAGATCTCCCGACCTGCCCGCCTCTTCTCCCCCCTCAGCTCCCGCTATTCCCGCCCCTCTCAAATCTCGCGAGAGCGCCCATTCAGACGCATTACGATCTCGCGAGATCCCGCGGTCCGCCCTCCTCCTCCCCTGAGCACCTCCCGCTATTCCCGCCCCTCTCAAATCTCGCGAGAGCGCCCATTCAGACGCATCGCGATCGCGCGAGATTTCGCCCCAGCATCCCCTCGCTCCTCCTCCCCGCCCTCCCGCCACGACAAATGTCGCGAGATCTCCCATTGAGTCGAACACCGTTCTCGCGAGATCTCCTTCCTCTCTCCCCACCCCCACGCCATCCTTCCAGCCTTCCCGCCACGCCAAATCCCGCGAGATCTCCCATTGAGTCCCACAGCGACTCGCGAGATCGCGCTCCTTCGCCCCCATTCACCCCCGCTCCAAGTCTCGCGAGAACTCTGTGCGTTTGAATGGGCGCTCTCGCGAGATCTCCGCCCTCCTCCCCTCGCTGCTCAGCCCCGCCCTCCCGCCACACGAAGTCTCGCGAGATCTTACCGCTTCTCTACGGGCGCTCTCGCGAGATTTTACCACCCCCACGAACTGAGGCTTTTCGCTCTCTCCCGCCTCCTTCCCGCTCTTTGTACAAATCTCGCGAGATTGCCGTCCGTCTCAATGGGTGCTCTCGCGAGATTTCTCCCCCGCCTTTCCATCATCCCCCCTTCCTCCCCTCCCAAGTCCCGCGAGATCCTTAATTCTAGGGAGGAAACTCTCGCGAGATTCCGCTGCCATTCCCCCGCCCCTTTCCCGCCTCTCCCGCGAGCTCTCGCGAGATTTCAAGCGCTGGGAGGCAGTGGGGAAGGCGTGGCCAATGCGTTACGTCATTTCCTTGTTTCCCGGGGTGCTCTGCGCTTTCACTTCCGCTATGGGTGCCGCCATCTTGGACCCGCAGCCACGTGGGAATTGCGCGCCGCCATCTTGCCCCCCGGGCGCCGCCATCTTCGCCGTGCCGCGGAGGATGACGGGATTATTGCCCCCCCGCCCCCCACCCTTTCCCAAAAATTCCCGGAAAATTTTTTGGGATTTTCCAACTTTTTTTTATCCAAACGGAGCCGAAACGGGGCAGAAACACAAAAAAAAATTCCCCAAATTTGGCCCCAAAACGCGCGCGGAGGGGGAGGGGACCCAAAGGTCACCTGGGCACACCTGGGAGCACCTGGGCACACCTGGGAGCACAGCTGGGCACACCTGGGCACTCACCTGGGGGCACCCCAATGGTCTCAGGGGGTCCCCAGGCCTGCCCCATGTCCCAGGGGGGCTCCAGGTGTGCCCAGGTACGCACAGGTGTGCCCAGGTATGCCCAGGTGTGCCCAGGTACCCCCAGGTGTGCCCAGCTCTATCCCAGGTGAGCCTCCAGGTACCCCCAGGTGTGCCCAGGTACCCCCAGGTGTGCCCAGCTCTATCCCAGGTGAGCCTCCAGGTACCCCCAGATGTGCCCAGGTGTGCCCGGATTGATCCCAGGTGCCCCCAGGTGAGCGCCCAGGTGCCCAGGTACCCTCTCAGGTGCCCCCAGGTGAGCGCCCAGGTGGCCCCAGAAGTGCCCAGGTGTGCCCAGGTGAGCTCCCAGGTGTTCCCAGGTGTGCCCAGGTGTCCCCAGGTGAGCTCTCAGGTATACCCAGGAATGCCCAGGTGAGGTCCTAGGTGTGCCCAGGTCTATCCCAGGTGCCCCCAGGAGTGCCCAGGTGAGTACCCAGGTGTGCCCAGGTGCCCCCAGGTGTGCCCAGGTCTATGCTAGAAGTGCCCAGGTACCCCCAGGTGCCCCCAGGTGTGCCCAGGTGAGTTCCCAGGTCTATCTCAGGTACCCCCAGGTGCCCCCAGGTGTGCCCCGGTCTATCCTAGGAGTGCCCAGGTGTGCCCAGGTGTCCCCAGGTGTGCCCAGGTGCCCCCAGGTCTATTCCAGGTGCCCCCAGGTGTGCCCAGGTCTATCCCGGGTGCCCCCAGGTGCCCCCAGGTGTGCCCAGGTGAGTACCCAGGTGTGCCCAGGTGTGCCCAGGTCTATCCCGGGTGCCCCCAGGTGTGCCCAGGTGAGTACCCAGGTGCCCCCAGGTGTGCCCCGGTCTATCCTAGGAGTGCCCAGGTGTGCCCAGGTGCCCCCAGGTCTATCCTGGGTGCCCCCAGGTGAGTACCCAGGTGCGCCCAGGTGCGCCCAGGTGTGCCCAGGTCTATCCCGGGTGCCCCCAGGTGTGCCCAGGTGCATACCCGGGTGCCCCCAGGTGCCCCCGGGTGCCCCCGGGTGTGCCCAGGTGAGTACCCAGGTGCGCCCAGGTGCGCCCGGGTGTGCCCAGGTGAGTACCCAGGTGCGCCCAGGTGCGTCCAGGTGTGCCCAGGTGAGTACCCAGGTGTGCTCAGGTGCGCCCAGGTCTATCCCGGGTGCCCCCAGGTGTGCCCAGGTGAGTACCCAGGTGCGCCCAGGTGCGTCCAGGTGTGCCCTGGTGTGCCCAGGCGCGCCCAGGTGTGCCCAGGTGAGTACCCAGGTGCACCCAGGTGCGCCCTGGTGTGCCCAGGTGTGCCCAGGTGAGTACCCAGGTGTGCCCAGGTGTGCCCAGGTGCCCCAGGTGTGCCCAGGTGCGCCCAGGTGTGCCCAGGTGCGCCCAGGTGTGCCCAGGTGCGCCCGGGCGCTCACAGGAAGTAATCGGCCACGGGTTTCTTGGCGGGGATGCCGCGCGTCTCCTGCGGCGCCGCCTCGAAGATGATGAACTCCTTCTGCAGGTGCTCGTCCAGCTCCAAGATGGCCGCCACGTTCCCGCACCTGGCGGACAGCCTCGTTTGCATCCCATTTGCATCTCATTTGCATCTCATTTCTCGGTTTCAGGGGGTTTTTAGTGACCCGCCCACCTGTCCGCCTCACCTGAGGATCCCAAACCCACCTGACTGCCCTGGATCCACCCTCTTTATGTCTCAAACCTTATTTGCATCTCTTTTGCATCTCATTTGCATCTCATTAGTCCAGTTTACAGGGTTTTCGCCCATTCCCACCTGCCCGCCACACCTGGGGATCCCAAACCCAGCCCGGCCCCACCTGCTTGCCCTGGATCCACCCTCTTTATGTCTCAAAGCTCATTTCCATATAATTTGCATGTCATTTGCATCTAATTAGTCCAGTTTTGTGGGGTTTTCGCCCATTCCCACCTGCCCACCTCACCTGAGGATCCCAAACCCAGCCCGGCCTCACCTGACTGCCCTGGCTCCCACCCCCTTTTTGTTACTCATTTGCATCTAATTCCCATCTAATTTGCATCTAATTCCCATCTCATTTGCATCTAATTTCCATCTCATTTGTCGGTTTAATGAGGGTTTTCCGTGCCCCGCCCACCTCCCGCCTCACCTGAGGATCCCAATCCCAGCCCGGCCCCACCTGACTGCCCCGGCTCCAGCCTTTTTATAACTCAAACCTCATTTGCATATAATTTGCATGTCATTTGCATCTCATTAGTCCAGTTTTATGGGGTTTTAGCCCATTCTCACCTGCCCGCCTCACCTGGGGATCGCAAACCCAGCCCAGCCCCACCTGAATGCCCCAGCTCCAGCCCTTTTAGGTCTCAAACCTCATTTGCATATAATTTGCATATCATTTGCATCTAATTTGTCGGCTTCAGCAGGGTTTTACTGACCTGACCACCTCCTGGGCTCACCTGGGGATCCCAAACCCACCTGACTGCCCCGGCTCCGCCCTCTTTATGTCTCAAACCTCATTTGCATCTCATTTGCATCTCATTTGCATCTCATTAGTCCAGTTTACAGGGTTTTCACCCATTCCCACCTGCCCGCCTCACCTGGGGATCCCAAACCCAGCCCGGCCCCACCTGACTGCCCCAGCTCCAGCCTTTTTAGGTCTCGAACCTCATTTGCATATAATTTGCATATCATTTGCATCTAATTTGTCAGCTTCAGCAGGGTTTTACTGACCTGACCACCTCCTGGGCTCACCTGGGGATCCCAAACCCAGCCCGGCCCCACCTGACTGTGCTGGCTCTGCCCCCTTTCTGTCTCCCTCCTCATTTGCATATCATTTGCATCCCATCTGCATCTCATTAGTCAGGTTTTGGGGGGTTTTAGCCCATTCCCACCTGTCCAATTCACCTGGGGATGCCAAACCCAGCCCAGCCCCACCTGACAGCCCCGGCTCCCCCCCCTTAGTGTTGCTCATCTGCATCTCATTTGCATCTCATTAAGCGCTCCCTGAGGGTTTCTCAGCACGCTCTCACCTGCCGGACTCACCTGGAGCCGCACCTGGAGCCCGGGAAAGCCCAAACCCCATCTGTACCTCTTAGAAACCCCACGTAATTACCACCTAATTACCCCCTAATTAGCATCTCATTAGCATACTGACACCATTTCCGCCCCCCCATTCATCTCCAGAGCCGCTCACCTGGGCCNTAATTACCACCTAATTACCCCCTAATTAGCATCTCATTAGCATACTGACACCATTTCCGCCCTCCCATTCATCTCCAGAGCCGCTCACCTGGGCCCCGTCACTCCCTGCCCAGGTGTGCCCAGACCCCACCTGCCCCTCATACAACCGCCATGTCATTAGCAGCTAATTAACCCCTAATTAGCATCTCATTAGCATACTGACACCATTTCTGCCCTCCCATTCATCTCCAGAGCCGCTCACCTGGGCCCCGTCACTTCTTGCCCAGGTGCGCCCAGACCCCACCTGCCCCTCATAGAAACCCCACGTCATTAGCAGCTAATTACCACCTAATTACCATCTCATTAGCATATCATCAGCACTAATTGGGCCCCATTTCCACCCTCCCATTCATGTCCAGAGCCGCTCACCTGGGCCCCGTCACTCCCTGCCCAGGTGTGCCCAAACCCCACCTGTCCTTCATAGAAACCCCACATCATTAGCAGCTAATTACCGCCTAATTAGCATCTCATTAGCATACCAGCAGCACTAATTGGGCCCCATTTAGACCCTCCCATCCCCATCCAAAACCCCTCACCTGGGCCCCGTCACTCCCTGCCCAGCTGTGCCCAAACCCCACCTGTCCCTCATAGAAACCCCACGTCATTACCAGCTAATTACCGCCTAATCAGCATCTCATTAGCATACCGGCAGCACTAATTGGAGACCTTTCTCACCCTCCCATTCATGTCCAGAGCCGCTCACCTGGGCCCCGTCACTCCCTGCCCAGGTGTGCCCAAACCCCACCTGCCCCTCATAGAAACCCCATGTCATTACCAGCTAATTAACACCTAATTACCATCTCATTAGCATATCATCAGCACTAATTTGGCCCCATTTCCACCCTCCCACCCCCATTCAAAACCCCTTAATTGGGTATTGTCACTTCTTGCCCAGGTGTGCCCAAACCCCACCTGTCCCTCATAGAAACCCCACGGCATTACCACCTAATAAATGCTTAATTAGCATCTCATTAGCATACTGGCAGCACTAATTGGGCCCCATTTAGACCCTCCCATCCCCATCCAAAACCCCTCACCTGGGTCCCGTCACTCCCTGCCCAGGTGTGCCCAAACCCCACCTGTCCCTCATAGAAACCCCACATCATTAGCAGCTAATTACTGCCTAATTAGCATCTCATTAGCATACCGTCAGCACTAATTGGAGACCTTTCTCAGTCTCCCATTCATCTCCAGAGTCCCTCACCTGGGCCCTGTCACTTCTTGCCCAGGTGTGCCCAAACCCCACCTGCCCCTCATAGAAACCCCACGTCATTAGCAGCTAATTAACACCTAATTACCATCTCATTAGCATATCATCAGCACTAATTTGGCCCCATTTCCACCCTCCCACCCCTGTCCAGAGTCCCTCACCTGGGTCCCATCACTTCTTGCTCAGATGTGCCCAAACCCCACCTGTCCCTCATAGAAACCCCATGTCATTACCAGCTAATTACCATCTCATTAGCATACCGGCAGCACTAATTGGGCCCCATTTCTACCCTCCCACCCCTGTCCAGAGTCCCTCACCTGGGCCCTGTCACTTCTTGCTCAGACGCGCCCACACCCCACCTGCCCCTCATAGCAACCCCACATCATTACCATTTAATTAACACCTCATTAGCATCTCATTAGCATACAGACAGCACTAATTTGGCCCCATTTCCACCCTCCCACCCCCATTCAAAACCCCTTAATTGGGTATTGTCACTTCTAGCCAAGGTGTGCCCAAACCCCACCTGTCCTTCATAGAAACCCCACGTCATTACCAGCTAATTACCGCCTAATTAGCATCTCATTAGCATACCAGCAGCACTAATTGGAGACCTTTCTCAGTCTCCCATTCATCTCCAGAGTCCCTCACCTGGTCCCATCACTTCCTGCCCAGGTGTGCCCAAACCCCACCTGTCCCTCATAGAAACCCCACGGCATTACCAGCTAATTACCACCTAATTAGCATCTCATTAGCATACCGTCAGCACTAATTTGGCCCCATTTCCACCCTTCCACCCTTGTTCAAAACCCCTCACCTGGCTCCCATCACGCCCTGCCCAGGTGTGCCCAAACCCCACCTGCCCCTCATAGCAACCCCACATCATTACCATTTAATTAACACCTAATTAGCATCTCATTAGCATACCGGTAGCAGTAATTGGGCGCGGACCAGACGGTGAGCACGGTCTCTCCGAAGTGCCACTTGTAGCCCTCCATGACGAGCTGGTGGGCGCGGCAGATCATGGCGACCTCGTTGGCGGCGTTGAACTGCGCCACCACGTCCGAGCCGAACAGGTACCCGGCGCCGCGGGGCGACACGCCCCAGCCCGTGGTGTCTGACACGGGAAAACACG